GGAAAGGTAACAAGTTTAAAAGCATCTTATGCTAGATCATGTGCTCTGCTTTTATGTGTATAATCAATTTTATCAATTAGAACAAGATAACATTCAGCTCGTTCAAGTTCATGTAAATTATATTAAGCAGCTGATTTTATATCAATAATTGGATTAACCAGAAAGGAGAACAAAGTGCATGTATCTTTCAATTGGGTATTACCAAAGAGTTATTGCTAAAGCACGACAGTGTCAAGGGATGTTCTTTGGCAATTGATATTCCGGAGTATTTGAGAGAATTAACACTACGCTTTGTCATAGTTTACGAACAGTTATAAAGGGGAACTATTTCATAGTATAAAAATAATTTAATTATTGAACTGGTTGATATATCAATTGCAATAAATGAACACATTTATAAGTATTAGTCGAAATAATTCTCAAAATCATTTTAATTAGTGTGCTATAGTCATGTCTCATCTCTCACAATGTAATTTGTTAACAGAAATAAACATAGTTTCTAGACTAAAATATCAATTGTATTGATCTAAATTCGAGACAAAATCCTTTTTTATTGAGAAATAGGCAATACAAGTCCGTTTAAATTGATTTATTGACTCAATATATCAGCATGATATGAATTATAGCAAAAATACGCACATTGTACCTTTGTACAATTTGAATTTAGTGTTTGATTTTAGAACTCAGTATTCATTTATTAGGATTTTAAAACCTATAAAACATATCCGATGGCATAATATTGTATATAGTATAGTTCAAACTTACAATCTGTTGATAAAATCTTTCTTACCTTTCATAGTAATAAACAAAATGACCATAAAACAGGCAAATAATTTTTAAGAAAAAAATCAGTTCGCTAAAATATGATAGGTTATTTCTTAACCAGAAAGAGCAATATATTGCTCCCAACGTTCTAAAGGTGCTATATACATACACATCTAATTTCAATTCCACGAGCATACTAGTTAAAAGAAAAAAACAGAGCAAAAGAACAAGGTTTTAAAATTGTTGTAGACGGTTCTTCTATTATTTAGATTAACACAAAGCAAGATAATCAATTAGACAATGGAAATGAAATATTCAGAGGTTGACAGGAATCATTGTCTAAAGTTTCATATCCGAGTATTCTTTTTTTTAGAATGGCAAATATATCGGCAGTTCTTTACGAACAGTACAGTAAAATTCTTTTCATGCTCGGATAGTGAGACTTATAGAAGCAAATGCATTGACTTGGTCGGGACAAAAATAGGCAAGTCAATCCGAATATTTGTGCATTATAATTAAGATGCCTTTCGATGCATTTTTATATTGAAAGACAGACAAGCATCAACCGACCTCCCTATTCTGTGCCAATGATAAATGAGAATAACATGAGCGTTGCAGTTATTCAGGAGACGTGCGTTTGTAATGGATGATGATTTGTTAAAATATACAATAAACTATTTACCGAGAATGTGATTCCGTTTTAACTTAAATTATATAAGAAAAATAAAGTATTCATGATTTTAAGATGTGCAAATATTGAAATATTTCATAGGAAATAAAAACTAAAATAAAAAATGGTGTCAACCAAAGTATATCAAACAACTAATAAAACTATTGAAGAGTGTTCAAAGACGTGTGCCTTATTTTCCAAACTTGACCATTTCGATTGACGACTTCATTTTAAGACCAAATAAAACACACTTAATTTGCATTTAGGCGGTTCCATTTTGCAATAGACAATCCATTCGAAATATCCTTTGACAATAAAATAAAAGTAAAAAAAATATGCAAAGGAGTATACATTTTCAAAACTGAAACCTTATCTTAAAACAATGAACTTTACCAAACGACGAAGACATTATGGAGGCATTTAAGTTGACTCTGATATATAATATTAATTCACTCTGCTCTCAAGATAAATATTGCATATCTTTATCATATCCCCAGAAGTGTTTGCATTTCTAGTTGCTTAACGTAAGAGCTTGTATTTTGTATATTTTTTCCAAGATCTTTTATAATCTCGTGCATTACATTCCAATAAACACCAAGATGATCCATACATGTATAATAAGAAAATAATGACGAATCATATGTTTTACATTTTTTTTGTGATTTCTTTTACATAATTGAAAAACATTTTACAATTTACAAAACGGTCATTGATTGGATACAACAATATAAACATAATCATAATTTTAATAAATATTTTTCAAATGACCAACAGATGAGTATCAATGGGCTACAACAGAATAAGTGATGTTGATTTTAATATTGAAATACTTCAATATTCAATACCATGTGAAGGAAGTCAAATTTTAGACATCTAGTTTAGATAAAATCATATACAGAGAAACCCTTTTCAGATAACAATGAAAAAGAAGAATTCAGTTATTGTCATTCATGATAAATACATTTGATATGCAAGCTGTTAGAGAAATAACAAATCAATTCAGGAAACTAGTTTATGTACTGACCCAAGTTGACATGAAAAGAACTAGTTATTAATAACAAGAGTATGTTGTTGCACTAAAGATGATTAATTACAAGGCTGAACAACACATTCGTTAAAAGATCTGTTCATTCGATGAAAAAAATAAGCTGTATGAAAGAAGCAAACAGCAAGAAAAGATAAATAATGCCCACTCCTAATATGGGCACCTCGTTTTAAAATGTACGTATAGAAATTAGACATATTTTAACATGTTATGAACAATTTACAATTATGCATAAATTTCTTTCTGGTTTAAATTTCAGTGAAATATTTTAATTTTCAACGGCTGCCAGAAGTCATCTAGGATACAGACAATAAATAAAAAGAAACCTTTTGGATAAAGTTACATAAAAACGTGTCTTTGAAAACCATAATGAACAGCCTTTCTTACATATTTACACTAGTTCCAAAAACTATTTATAAACTTACAAACAATGTGACATTAATCGTTTGGTCAAAACTGTTCCTAACGGCCGTTTCCTAAACTCAGTGTAATATGTCGCTGATCGACAACATGATTGATACAAAACATCCAAAAACAACCTTTCATTCCTTCTTAGACAGTTTCATTTCAATCATTTCTTTTAATAATGAGTATGTTTATCAGCGGCCATTATTGTCACTTTTTACTTCTTTTCTTTGATTGACTAGTGCATTAACAAATGACCAATATGTATTATATAACACAGATTATCATTAAAAATTTTGTGATTGTCATTCTGCCATGAATTGTTTTGCTTGTATTCAGTAGACTACGAGTACTAGCTGGCACATAGTACCATTAAATTGTCAACTAGGATACTGAAAACGAGTATATAGGATTGTTTAAAAGAGCTTGAATTAAATACCATATTAAGCTTTTGCTTTTTATAGATAAAATTTGTTGTTTGTTATTGATGCAATGCTGGTTTAAAATACACATAACTAAAAATGTTAATAAGTACAGTTTGTATGTTTAATAAGCTTATTTTTCCTTTTCTAAAGCTTTGTACTTACCAGAAATATGTTAATTTTAAATGCCAGTTTAGATATTTTATATTCTATTTTTGTGCTGCTTTTACATTCTTTTTATCACTTAAAATGATCTTGCTCGTTTGAATATATAAACATATTTCGTTCGAAATTGTACCTTCTTGTAAATTAAGTCCTTTAGTTAACTTTGATAACACGGAATTTAAATAAAATAACTTGTGCAGCCTCCCTTGTACCACATAATGTAGGTTTTTTTCTTTTTGTGTAGTGTTGTTTGCTTAATGTTAACTGCTAAACATTACGATACCAACTGATTATAAAAAAACTGTCACCGGTTCGGGTACACTTTTATGTAAGGCATCCTCGGTAACCAAGGCAACCCGTTCGTGTACCCTACATTTGCACGCGTTAAATTAGTGGAATTAGTAACCATGGTTAAATGATGTCGTGACAACTGTTAATTTATAAAAGCTGTATGGGCAAAAGATAATCAACATTATAATCTTACAGATACCAACTGGCGTTTAACCTTTATTACCGGTTCGGATACAAATACCATCATGTTAGGCATCTTCGGTAACACATAGGCATACTTGTTCGTGTTTCCATCATTTGCATGAGATTAGTTAGATGAATATGTATCCATGGTTTCCGACTATGGTGTGAGGAATATATTTAGTACACGTTAGAAGGGTCTGTATTTTTGCTTGTGTGTTTGTTTGTGTCATGTTTTTCTTAGCAAGGTTTACTTATTGAGTATGAAATGTTTTAACCTTTTTGTGTTGAAATTGTTTTTTTAATATGACTTTCTGGTAGTTTTGTTCAGAATCCTCTCGAAACATTAATTTTTAAGCTTTTCTACAGGTTTAAAATTATGTCAAATTCAAAATGATATATGGTCTTACCTCATGTAAGCAGAAAAGTTATGACCAATCTTATTTCGGGAAAGTGCATAAATAAAGCTCGACATATGCAATTTAAGGTAGTAGAAACATAAAGTCGGAGAAAATTTATCATTTTTTGTATCGGATGTTTGACAAATGCAACAAAAAACAGAATTGAAATATTACGGTACAACAATTCAGGAACAATATTTCTGCTTAGCAACTTAAAAATTAAATTTGTTTCGAGCACGTTTTCTTCTCAGAACCTATTCAGTTTTTGCCTTAAAATGATTATTGAGAAGTAAAGAATTGTGACTTGTATCAATTCAACATCTACTCGTATATGATTAATAACAATAGGTAGATTTCCTAAAAAAATCCTATCACAACATAGCATCTTATATTCAAAACCTTACCGTCGTAAAATCTTGAATCAGCTATTGTTTAGGTCTCATAACATGTCTTTTTAGGTCAGACCGAACCTTTTTTATATTACATTTTTATGCATAATTGTTTTCAGGTTTCTTTCCTTCAAATATGGTCTAATTTGTACACTTGACATCTACTTAGTTACAAAGTCTTCGGTCACTAACCATTTTTTCTTATTTGAGATTATTTTTAATTTAGAAAATATTTTTTATTGGAGAACTGAATATACAACAAACATACTTATAAAATATCAATTTAATCAACGTCTTTACAGAACATTCAATGGATAACATTAATAACGGATTTATCATTGTAAGAAAGAGACATAATAAAATAATGCTCCTGTGGTTTCATGCAAACAATTTATAGGTCACAGGCACATTTATGATTGATAACAAATCATGTTGCGTATCCTTACTTTTACTTGGAAGGGAGACAATCAGCGTAAAAAGTTCAGGGACTTTAAAGGGATACTCAACATAAGTAGCATTTTTACATGAACATATATAATAATAAATGATTAAAGTTATCGAATGTGCCGCTTGTTTAAGTATGAAAAGCAAATAACAGATTTGGTCAGATTAGAATGATAAGTATATTCGTAATATCAGACCTTATTTTAGTTTTAAAGTTGACAATATAATGATTTTCTTTGAAAAGCATTATAATACACTTTTCTATTTATTTCCATCGTATTTAAACACAATTAATATCAAAATATACTTAATTCTTATTAGATAGCACTTAGCGAATCACATAAGTAAGGATATCAACATTTAAAAAGAACAATGAACAATAAACAAACAAAAAATCAAAAACACAGTTTATCACAGATATGGGAACGTAAGCATAGAAAACATCCGAAATATCAAATAGTTTTTGTTCGTATGTTTAGATGGAAATATTGTACTTGAAGAAAGAAACACCAAGTATAATTTCTTTTATTTTGTCAATTAACATTCATTTACTTTTCTGTTCGTTTCACATTGTAAATATAGCAACTTCCGTTGTTATTATCCACTTATTATAATAAATCCATTTATTACACCTTTTGTTAATATCCATTAACTAAGTCTAATGAATAAATCTATTAAAAGTTGTAATTTACAACTGTTGTTAACCTTTTATTAGTAAACACTATATTCAAATTTCTGAATATACTTTCTACCGTTTGATTTTGAAAATAAACATAAAATCTTTGGAAAAATATGAACACATGTGATATCTCTACATTTTGGCGCCATAACATTTTACAAGCACTTTGTATTCCTGTTTGAAATAGGAATGCTTAGTACATCCATTTCAACTGTTCATCACAACCGACAAAATCTTACGCTTGAAAGCACGATTTTACACATTTATTAATTATAGAAAAACAGCATCGATTGACAACGATTTTCCGTGTCTTCCTCTTTTTGTACAACCGGTCGGACTAGGGTCTTCATTTTCTTTTGATGCATTTCCTTTACTGTTGTTTAATGCTCTACACCGACCCTTTGCTTCTAAAATTTGAGATATCCAGCTTGCCTGTATGTAATAAAGAAAATTAAAATGATTTCTAAAACAATTATTAAAATAAAATAGTCATAAACGAAATGAGAAAAAAATGCTACTATAAATCTATGAAAATGAAATTGCTCTCTAAAACCTCCTCTAAAACAGGACCTTAGTTCAAGTTACATACGTTATGATCATCTGCTTTAAATTGTTTTCAGACATATACGGTTCAAGATTTCAAAAAATTAGTCAAACGTTTGTTTGAAATTAATTGCCATCAAATAAATAAAACTATTTTAAAATAGTAATTTAATATTTAATTTTTACCTAATTTTATAAGAGGATAAAAAATGATTACTGTTTCAACTCGATAAATCATGAAATTATGAACTATATCTGGAAAACCATGTAAAGAACGTACCTTGACAACATCAGAGGGTGCTTGTAACGTAAATACGTCTATAATTTGTTGGAATCTACTGATTTGTACTATCACAAAAGCACTTTTCAAGCCATTAGCTGTAAAATACATTTATTATTATATTATTTATCAAGATATACAGGTATTTTTGGGAAAAGTAATTTTACTTCTAGTGATTAGATAGTGTTATATTTTTGCTGTCATTTTCATTTTAATCAAACACTTACAATTGATTAAGAACACTAAGGAATATTTTGAATGGTACCTGTAGCTTCCGGTGGCATAACGTCATGAACGCCTAGGCGATCAAGTGCTATTGGTTGTCTATGAACTGTGTACATTTGATTGTCCGGTTGACCCGTGGTGGAATGGATGTCGGATGAAGATTGTTTCTATAAAAGCAAAAAGAACATGTGTCTATGATAATGAATTAATGTTTTCATTCATAAAAGGGAAGGTACAAAGGAAGGCTTACTTGGGCTTAAAAGAACAGCACATATATACTTTTTGAATTAGCAAGTGATAACCTTTTTTTATTTTAATTAGGTATAGGTATGATTTTATTTATAACAGTTTTATAAATACGTGTACCATTTAGCTATAAAGTCAGAAGCTGTCCTGAAGCTAATATGTTGTAACGCTTGAACTATTGCAATTTGTTCACTAAGTGTTGATGTTTAAAAGTGGATATAATAACTTACTTTTCTGTTTGGTTTCTTGATTTTAGTTATGAGCAAAATGTCGTCAAACAAAAACATGTAAGCGTCAAATGATTTTGTTGATTCTGCAATAAAAAGAATAAAATATTAAAGTTACATCAGACATTATTCTAAATATATTCGGTCAATGAGATTCTGGACTAGGATTTCCATAACTATATTTGAACAGGCTTCAGCAAACAGAACATAAAACATTGCTAACTTTGCAGTTTTTGCCGAACATTAATATTCTATATGGTATATCTTAACAAATTGAAATGGCAAAAGTGGCAACATTGGCATATTAGAACGGGAAATCTTTTATCATTACATTTATTGTTTCATAGTTTACTACGGTGATAGAATATTCATAACAGTCACAAGGTGAACATAATGTTTAAAATGAAGAAAATGGTCATTTAGTAGTGTGACTTTGCTTTTATGTTCACTTATCGAAGCTGTTTATTTCAATTTAAATAAAGTAGAAGTTTTTATATAAATACAGTATTTGCCTTTTCTAGAGTGTTTTAGCAAAGAAAAATATTTGAATTATATACTGAAATACCTACAAAAAGCAACAAAAGGTACTAAAGTAAAGATATCAATCGAAATAAAAAAGATAAGATCTTAGGCTTTCCTTGCAAAACATTAAAAACAACTGAAAGCAATCTAGAATCTAAGAATCAGAATAATCATACAAAATCCTACTGAATTTAAGATTAATAAGATTAACATTAACCATGTAAATTACCTTTAAAAGAAAACAATAAATTGTTTACAATTAAAATAAAATGATGACATCCATCTTCATGACAAAGTACCTGTTAGTGTAATTGCACCTTCATGGATAAGTTGTCTGGAAGGACAAGCCAAGAGCCGTTCACAAGGCTGTCTGGATAACTTTGGTTTCAAATACTGGAATGATAAGTTTATTTCTTGACTAATGTAAGGAAACAATATAAATTCAACAGAATGTTGAACATTATTTGATACGGATTTTTTAAAGTTCAATAGTGTAGGAAGTCACAAGCTTATAAGTACACTTTCCTTGAACTAACCAAGTACTAAGCAATGAGTTTTAAGTTGCTTTCGCAAGGAACCGTGACGAAAATTTAACCCATGTGACTAAAAGTCTTGGATTCCTTGTCTGACACGTACAACACGAGACCACCTTTACACGTATCCTTGTGTAAAACGATTGAGACTTGTCTGTCTTTAGTTTAAATGCACAAACGTACAACTATAGTAACAGTTATATTACTTTTAAAAACAAAGCCATTTTTTATATATATTACTTAGAAGGAAGATAAAATGGGATCTGACATATGAAAGCGTGTTTCACGCGCTTGTTTAAGAGATTTGCTTGCATGTTTGATGAATATCTATATATAACAAATCTGTATTATACTTTAATGAATTATGAATTTAGAATATTATTGTTGATTAATTATCAAATAAAAAAAGTTCACGATCTTAAGTCACGATGTTATTTTAATGCTACCTCTGGAATGAAAGCTCGAGAGTCGAGATCTGTAATTGATGGCCATATCAGGTGGCGCTGTATTTCCTGAACACGCTCAAAATTCTTTAGCCATTATATTTTCTCCTCAAGTTGCCCTGATGAATAATTGACAAATGATTAATTCTGCAACAATCTTGTTATTTCTTAAGATTGCATTTCAAACATATTGCTACAAGGTGACTGATGTTCTATATGTAAGAGGTAATCCAACCAAACGGTAATAGAACCACTTTTGAGACGAAGTACATGCAAAGCACTTGAACTTCTGTTTGTTAACTACTGTTTCAGAAAAGAATAAGTGTATAAAGCAATTAACTGATAGTACCAAAGCTTGTATGAAAGTCGAAAAACACAACTTAAACTCACGTAATGACATTTCGACTTTTTCGATAGATTCCACAATTTGAGTTTTTTCTATAGGATCTTCTGTATATTTCTGTATATTGTGAAGAAGTAAAGGCAATTTTGTACAATGCTGCATTGGTCCAATCAGCAAATCAGCTAACTGTAATCGATTACATCTTTGGTCTTGTTCGCACCACTAAAAAGTATTAAATAATAATTTTACAATTAGTAATTTCTTTTCTGTCCATGTATTTTAAATATACATTTTAGTGTAGGTTTATAATATTAACAGTGGGATGTCAACTATCTATATCACATGACTTTGTGAATAAAATTTATAAATGAGACATACAGGTCCTTTAGTATTTAAAAGTAGGAATAATGCGTTAATATACCATAGGTTTTTGTATAATAAAACACCTTGAATTGAAAAGACCATATGAGTTTCTTCAATCATTAAGTGTCAGACAAAAACATAATTATAAGGTATATTTGAGTGAGGGAAAGTATACGATTCTTATTTTTGATTTAAAGAACAGAACACTATAAGTAAACATGAGATATAGCATTAAAACAGAAACACTTTGTTTAATTAACCTTTTCAAATTCACAGAATTCGTCGTTTTTCCGCAACTTCTCTAGGTATGATACAATCGTAACAACTCGGCAATCTCCGTCAAGTTCGGAGATTGACCTCGTATGTAAGTGTAGGAATACACCAAATTGTTATACGGCCCGGCGAAGCACCGATTTTAATTATTGATGTAAACAAAGATGGCGGAGTTCTCTCAGCTGTTTGTTATATGCGTTGAAAGAAATGAAAAAAAGATTTAAATTTAAATCATGAACAAGAAAAAGCGCAAGAGAACATGAGTCCGGTATTAAAAGCAGGTCTTTAACATGAATTATACATCAATTATACAATAGATATAGATCTATATGAGTATTCATTCGAGAACTCGGATGCTCCTCTGTGGGCAATCTCCTGGATTAGACTCCTATGTATTTTTCAGGTCTAAAACTAGTACATAAAACACTAAAGAAAACGGAATGAACCATATATATACTCCTGGTTTAGACCCCGGGGTCTTATCCAGGATATAGCCCCCTCTGTGCACCAGAAAAAAATATAAACATGCACCATCACTAGTTCACAGGCACTAGACACAATTTATTTATCCATATCCATATAAGAAAAAACAACATCAAACTATAAGAAAATGATCGCACAAACAGTGAAGTATAAGTAACACACTTATAAAGGTGCTTATTAACTGATTAATTAACCAGTGTTTAACAAATTCTTTCACACTTCTAATTGTTCTTATAAATATAAAAACATATTTTAATTAATCAATGTCTTATGGTATTTATTTTTTTGACAACAAAAAAATGAATAAATATAGACTTATAGCTGATAATTCTCTCAGAACTCATATAAATTATTATTTTAATAATTATTTTTTAAGGGAAAATTCACTATTTTTATGACAAAAAAATATCTTCTTTATATCATAAATGTAATTGTGTGCAAGTATGCGTTACGTAACATATGATATTATAACTCATAATGGTATTTATTTTATATATTTATCAAATTTAAAAAGGGTGCCGAAAAGACCAGGGTTTTGAGGCTGAAACGTCCAGAGCCGAAACGTCCAGGAGATGTAAAGTCCAGAAATCATCTGATTGACCATTCATATTTCTAAAAGAAGTGATTTTTTTATTGAAAGGTCAAATTTGTTAAAATCATTGGGACCTGGCCTTAAAATTTGCAAAAAATTGTTGATACTGGTCAAAATTACCCTCAGGATTCCATGGAAACCCTGTGACCCTGAACCACAGACCTGTTTTTTTACCTTATTCAACATTGTTTTGCATTATATGAAATATGTACTTGTATAGGTCCAGGAAAGTTGTATATTCATAAATTGTCTATAAAGTTTTAGATAATGTGTAAATTAACAGAATTTTCATTAAGATTGAGAGGATTTCATGAGAGGAACTTTCATGCTAAGTGGTGCATTTTATAATGTAACTTGTTTCACCTTAATGATACTATAAAAAATGCTTAATATCAACTGTGTAATTTAGTTCAATAATCTTTCATTGTAACTAAAGTATCTACATGTATACAGTAATTATCAGTTCCACTTTAAGATATGAAATTTAAAAATGGGTTAAAGTTAGTACATGTAACCTGTAATGTACAGAAAAGGAAAATTAAAGGAAAAAGTAATATATTCATGTAAAAAAAATAAATATATCATATAAAAATTACAATTACAAGTTAACCAGATAGCTCAGCTGGTAGAGCATCCTAGACTTTGTATAGACAGGGTTATAGGAAGGCCTCAGGTTCAAGTCCTGATCTGGTTGTTACTTGTATAATACTAATTTAGGCTATTTTCATATATAAGTATTAATTATATCTAAATTTTTCAGAATGTTTAATAAATTCTAAATATTTCAGAATGTTTAATAAATTTATGTAGATCTACTTCACAAAAAATAAATTCATTTTTTACAGCAGTAAGTGATGAGTTTTAATAGCTAAAAATAAGATGCAATTGTTCCATTATCGGAATACCCAGCTTATTATCATTGAGTTACAGTAAATGTTGTGGCACCCTATTATAACTGACACTAAAAATTTCATTGATAGAAATTTTATATATTCTTTAATTGTTTTTTATTTGATTTCCTTTTAAATATAAACGTTTAGTCTATAGATGGACAAGCCAAAGCCCAAAGGCCCTTGACTTCCCCATATGAAATAAAATTCTGTGATCATCAATTCCCTATTACTCACTCCACATTCTTAATATATTTTTTAAGATCTTTAACACTATGAACATGTACTAAAACAATATTATATCTTAAATAAATTAATTAATTAATCAATAAATATTCCCAATATGGTAGTTCACATAGCAAAATTTTACTAGCAATTATTTCTGAAGTTTATTAAAACATTGGTCTAAAGATAATCTGAAAATTTAACATTTATCTATTTTATCCTTTAACAGATTTGATTTTATAGCCAATATCCTTGCTCCTACTGAGATTTGAACTCAGAACTCCTCTTAGTTTGCATGATTTATCAATAAACCAGAGGTGTTTTACCAATTAAACTATAGGAGACATAGTATCAGCCACAATCTTTATAGAAAACTAATAATGTTTCTACAAATTTACACACAAAATAATTTAATTATTAGAATAATAAAATAGATATAATTAAAGTATTTTTGGCTGGTATTTGTTTACTACCTTACTTATGTTGGCTGGTATTTGTTTACTACCTTACTTATGTGCAGTGATTATTTTCCTATATTTTACAGCCAAAAAACAGACATTTCCACCTCAAAATGATATTTTTCAACTGAAATGCCCTGTGCACATTCTTCACCAGAACAATGGCTTAACAGCAGATAACTTATGCTATGTACCATTTATGTTAAATTGAATTAATAATTTAATTAAATGTGTAGGTAAATTCCATTCATAGTTGTTTGGAATTTGATTTCAGATTTTCCCTTTTTTCTGATTTATCTTGCAACATATCTATTTTTTCTCTTCAGAAAGCCGCAGGTTGTTTTTGAAAATAAAACGAAAACAAAAAAACTCTGATGTGATATCAACAAATTGACATTGAGATGATTCATAATCATTAAATGAGTACTTAACTGTGAGAAAAAAGGGAAGATTATGTTAACAGTCAATATGACCATTTTTTGTTGCTTTTCATTATCCTAACATGATGAATACAGTGAAATTGTGAAAAAGATATCCAAATTGTGAATTTTTTTCTAAAAATGAAAATTTTGATATACCCAAATGAGCCTTTTTCAGATATTTCATAAAGAATTTACGACTCTTTGAGGGAATTATTCATCCGTTACACTTATAATAGCCGTATGTTTACCTCGAATTTTGTATCGGATATGAGCAATAACTATTAGACATAAGACTTGACTGACATAAACTATAACAAGCCTGTAACGTCTGATATTATACTAGGTCCCTGGCCTGTTCAATTTGCGAAAAAAAGGTGATAATGCTAACTACCTATAAAATAGTTAAGTAAAAAGAAGTTTTTTAAGCAGTATGTGTAAACTAAATTCTAATATTAACCGCCTTTCCTTATTGATCTTGTTTATCGTGTTTTATAAACCACATCATTAGTTTATAAAATTTGATAAGATCAACAGACACTGTCTGTGATAAAAAAAGTGCAAGTGTGCATGATTTTGGGAAATAAAATTTAAAAACAACTAAATTATCTAAGAGTTGGGTTTATCTATGTGTGTCGGGGTTATCTCCTAAACCAGTACTGGTCGGGGACCACCAATACCGGACAACCATCAAACCCGGACGGCCCAGAAAGAATTTCTTTGTTCAGTGGTTGTCAGTCACTTTTTAATCAACAATAAATGCATGTTTCTTCTAAAATCAAGTAAATAAATTTGTTTCAACCTCCATAAATGGAAAAAATTTAATGTCTATTTACAGAATGTTGACGTTAAAATTTGAGGGTCAAGAAAGCAATGCCTGACCTCATATACAAGCTATAATCATTTGCAGAGTAAACAATAGAATATCCAAAACTTCCGCATTTGTTGGAATAGGGCCGAGCTGACTCGGGGGCCGAGTATGTTTTAGGGTCGAGCTGACCCGGATTCGTTGCTGACATATTGTGTATCATGTTAAAAATAAAAAATAAAAACACCCAAGCTTTTAGTTTTATCAGGTACGTATATATACGTACCTGGTTTTATCTGAATTAAATCATGTTATGTACATATCTGTCAGGACACATGGTACTGTAGTGTAGACAATTTAGGTAATTTTAATACCATCCTTGTCGAGCCTCAGATATAAGTGTCAATACATTCGGACATAACCTCCGGAAATTATACCTTTTAACGTTGTGAAAAGAATCCAGCTTATGCCAATACTTGCGGCAAACCAATTTAATCCTCTGCTTATAGACTGGAAACTGCTCTGTCAAAATTTCATCAAAAAATATATATGCTTTCTGCCGAGAACGTTAAATACGTCTCGGTTCGGCATCGTGCATACGTAAATCAACCATTTTGAATATAGTCCGTCAATATGGCGCATCCCGTATTATATCCGAGGCGAATTCTTGAAGTCGCCCGAGGTGTTCCGATTGGGTATGATAAAGCGTTTGTATAATTGAGACAATATGTGTGATAGACGCTGCCGTCCTTGGAATGTTTCGAAAACTGAAATAAAAACGATTGGCATTTTTTAAGTGTACAATATCAACACAAGTTTGTCAATTGAAGTTTGCGAAGACGGAATGTTTTATTTACATATAAAACGGAGTTACTTGTTTTGTGAACTTCAAGCAGGACATGTCAATCTTTAAAATTTGTAACATTAACTATTAAATACATGGTGTACATATGTTTGTCAAACTGATTACTCCAAACAAGTTAGTTTGATCATATAAAAACGTTTATTTCTATTGAATATGTCATGTCTTACCCTTTGAAATGCTTTTATTAGCACCGCTGTAGAACCAAAATCTGTAGCACTCATATCCTTAAGTAATGATGATATAAAGTCTTTGCAAAATGTATAGCTTACCTGAAATAATAAACACACATAGGAAATCCCTAGTACAAAACAAAAATAACAAAATCTACAGTTTTATTTAGGATCATATTTATTTTTTAATCACACAGTCCGGTTTCAAATAATGAACAAACAGAGAAAAAGGGCAAATAAATACAGTTGTTTTATTTTTTCTATAATAAACATTACATTCTGTAAAATAACAAATATTAAGGTAACTTATTTTAGTGGCATGTCGGATACCTTTACAAAGAATATAGCAAAACGTATGTCTTGATTAATGAAAAAAAAATACTGTCAAATTTGTCATAAACAATATGAATAATAGAAAGAAAACCCATAACTTTAAATGCAAGGTCTTACATAGCAAAGCTCATCAAGGTTGCTGAATATTTCTGAGGGTTCAGCATACATAAGAAAGCCTTCCACTTGACATTTCTTCAAGGGTTCTAGGAAACACTGAAATCATGCAAATACCAACCTTGCATCATTCCCTACCTTTGAGTACAAGATATATACACACGAATTGAAATTATCTTTTAGGATCAAATAACATTCTTAGACTATCAAATGTTGCATGAAAAATGCAATCATTTATCTATAAAACAAAGTTAAGTTATGAAAAATAATACAAACTTAAAGGTTCATCAAAATAACCAAATTTATCAAAACAATCTTTAAAAGCTGTCTGGAACATAAATTTCAAAGAACGTGATAAAATACATACATGTTTAAGCACCATCAAGTGATCGATGAGAAACACACATTCACTTTTAAATAATTCCCAGACAGATTCTCGCCGTTTTCTCTCCAATTCTGATATGTTGAGTGTCTCTGTGATTGACGTTTGTTTATCTGTACTGGCAATTAGGTCTGTCCAATGAATATTCTGAATGAAAAAATTGAAACAATTAAGTTGATAAAGAATGAATTTTGAAATGTTTGAAACTTGTGCAGACATTACATCAGTAACACATTTGATAATTCCTTAAAATGTCTTGCATAAAATGACGCCGTGGCAAAGTTGTGTACGCATCGGATTACCAATCTTATAATATTAAAAGAACTGCTACCTTCATGGGTCAAAATTTAGTTAAAGACAAATCGTTGTTTCTTTGAGAAAGATAATTTATATACAGTACTTTATATTATTTTGTTCAGTAAAAGGAAAGGATGTGAGTGTTTTGTATGAATCAATAGCTTATTCTAGATCAAACTTCAATACATGTCAAATGATTTTTGTCTTATAAATATAGCATTAAAACCTTCACCATTGCTTATAATAATTTAAGACTTTCGGGAATATTTAGTTTTGTAAAACTATACCCATATGAACTTTAAAGTGTCAATTTGATTAAGTCTGTCCATTTCAAAAATTGTTTTTTTATATAAATTAAATACTTTACCTTGTATGCTGCAAGATGATTGTTTTTAAATTCGGAAGCTTTTAGTTCTTTCAATACATCACA